ATAAAACCCTTATACTAGTATGTATAAAGGTCTTATATTTAGGACTAGAGGAGTAGTTCTTACATTAAGGATAAGAGGTAGTACAACAGAAGATTTAACCATGGGGCAAACTGTTACCCTGAGCATCCCCACACCAAGCATCCCCAGTCTCACATGTGTTAAGACGAAATTGTGCAATTTATTACATACATGCACAAAAAAAGGGACCAAAGCTTCAGAACCGAAGAAAGGCTCTCATCATTTATAGCAGCTTTAACAATTTACTTTCGAATCCGACTTCAATGACCTTATTTTGTAGATTCTTTGTTCTTGTTTTTTTTTTTTTTTTAATATGATGAACATTTCTTGTAAGGCTTTTTAGTTTATCTTCATTTGAATCTCCCCAAGCACAACAGGGCATGGAGAGAAGATGCCCGTAAGACAAACAAGTAATGTCTTCCCCCCACTAAGAAAGCTACAATCATATCCATGCAATGTATGAGATGTTCTCGTAATTATTACTCCTCTAGTCCTTAATATAGGATCCAATTGTTGAATTGGTTTTGGTCATAAATATAAGACCTATTTCTCATATTTATCAATTTTTTCTAAATTACTCTTATGGATACTCCTTCAACCATAATTAAGTAGAAGAGGGAGATGGGGTATTAAGAAAGATTATTATGGTGTTTTAGGAAAAATATATCACATTTCTTATAATTAACTAACTTACCTAACTCTCTTAATCTAATCAAGTTAGTTAAATGGGTCTTATATTAAAGACCGGAGGAGTATAAAATGTCATGAAAGTGTTGAAATCCCGCAATCAAATATAGTATGGCAATTGGCAAACATCATGATGTCTTCTTCCTACCGCGCAAGAAGAGGAAAAAAGTATTACTATAGCCCAAAAGCTGTTAAAAATCTTTTTGAACATTATCGATGGCCATATGGAGAGAAACTAATGTGCCCTTGATGAAAGGCTAGGTTTCGAAAACATGGAAGCTGTATTGCGAAGCATGCATCAAGAATCTAGGATTTTGATTAATTTTATGTAGTGAGCATCGAATAACGACAGAGCAGGGGCGAGATCTGAGGGACAGGGCAGTTGATATGTCCCCCGTCATTTCAAAACAATCAACACCATACAATCCTGGTAGTCAAAACCCCACCCTCACCAGGACTTGACAAGTCAACAAGTAAAAACAGATCAATAAAAACTTGGGCAAAAATCCTTATGGGTGAATCTTGAGTGCCTGTTATGAAGAAGTTATACAACCAGAGCAGTCCAAATTCATGGTCCAGTATTAAGTTTAATGAGGGATCTCTTTGTATTGGCAATAAAATATGACACAGCAGGACAACATGATTTAGTAATGCAATGTTTGGCACGTAAAAAGTGTTTTCTAGGAAGGGAATGGGGAATGCGCCTGTCCCATTTCCATTCTAGGTGCATTTTCCATTTCCTTTATAGAAGATTTTTTTTCTCATACCAAACATTACCTAATGCTACCTAAATGCTCAGTTCTAAGAAAACTAAGGTTAGACCATAGCAAAATTGAGTTACTACTTCTAGTCCTAAATATAAAATCTACTTTTATGGTATAAAAGTGGATCTTATATTTAAGACTAAGGTAGTAATTTTAAGAAATAATGCGCAGAAGGAAAACGGATGGCAGGAGCCAGACACGTAGGTCAATTCAAGCCTAGTAGTAGGACAATGCAATGAATTAAAACGAATATCAAACTTACCCAGTTGAAAATCCTTGATGGAAATTTCAGCAAAACTTTGCAGAAATTGAAGTATGGCATATGCATAGCTAAATCATCTGCTGGAGAACTACACCATGCAATCCCCAAAATCATAACTAAACTGCACTCCCGAGAATGCCCGATGGGAAGAAAGACTTGAAGGTCAACAGCAATATTTGATGATGAGACATTCCAATCCTAAAATCCGGAACACCAGCTATTACTTTCTTCAGTACACCAGCCTGATATCTGCTACTGCTAGCTAATCCAAATTTGAGTGTAGTTGAGTCCAAATAAAAGTAGCTCTTTTAATGAGATTTTTTTTAATCCACAATATTCAAATTCTTGGCCTTACGAGATATTGAACCCTACATTCAACCCAGCCACCATTGGTAAACGCGAACTACTTTGAGCCATAATAATTCTTCTGCTCCCTACTGATAACTGCCAACAGATTTCATGGAACTTATAAAATGGTTGCACAATCGCTTGGTTTTGTATGAACACACATAATAACAATTTCACTGCAAAATTCAGAAGCATAAACAATTTGATTATATTAGAGTTTCAAATGAGTCTTCACTTCGGTACTATGCATGTATAAACAAAATGCTCCGCTACTATATTTTATTTATGGATTTTTTTGGCAGTCTTTGTTTATGTTATATCAATAATATTTTAAATCATATATTTTAAGCAACATGTGATCATCGTTGGGTTTTGCAGATCGATGTTATTCACAATTCAGAAGCAATTCTTCCAATTTTAATTTCATAGGTATCGCAATGTGATAACTATAGTCGGGACCAGAAACGATTTCATAGACAGTGTTAGGAAATAATGTACACGTGTGTATTACGTTGGTAGTTTGTTAGCAGCTGTAATGTATTGTAACCAAATCAGTTAGAGATTATCCCTTGTAATTATCATTATAAATAAGATATCAGTGCTGAAGGAAATCAATTAATTCGCGAAGCACTTTCAGTTTCTCCTTGCCTTTCCATAATTCCTCTGTTTCTTCATTTTCTCACTGACAGGAACGTGCGAAGAAAACAAAACACAGAAAGTCCCATCCAAAGTCATTTTGCATCCAACAGAGTAACACTAACAAGTCTTCCTATTCCTTTGTAATTAATATCTATTCCCAACAGTTAGATAAACACTTTTAAGTAATTATTGGGAAAGACTATCCCCCCATTTTTAAACAATTCTAAACAAGGACAAATTATCCCTTCCAGTTCAGCCATTGTAACCCATCCAAACAGAAAGTCGTGGACAATCAAGGAATGTTCTTCGTTCCTTGTTCATTGTATCACATAGACGTGGAAGGCAAAGCCAGGAAACATAGCAGCAAGTCTGGTAAATTCAATGCCTACTAGCTAAGTTTTAAATAACAATGTACCATCGCCTTTAGGGTTTAGACGAAATAGAGAATTAGATAATCAGTGTTGAGCCATTGATGAGATACACAACTCATTGAACATTGCCAATTTATTGTTATTCTCAGTGAATATTGCTGCTACCACATTCTGAAAGTGAAAACGACGGAGAAGCTCAAAGATCTCAGCTTGATGATATTCAACAGCATTGAAGAAAACATGCCAATTTTGTAAAGAAAAAGTAACCATTGAGATTAATTCTAGGTTTGCTGTTGATACCTTCAACAAAAAACTCAACATTCCCTAATTTAGCTGCCATCAACAATGCTTTTGCAATCATACACTTTTTCTCTTCGGCTTGTGTATTTCCTTCTTTCCTGGAAACTTGGTAACTCAAATATAACTTAATATCAGTCAAGATTAATCATGAGAACAAAATTCTTAAAAGTAACTCAATTAAATTTTTGGAAAATTCTGAGCAGACGTGACAGGCAAATTATAAATGCGGGAGGTGAGCTACTGTAGTAGATTTAGTCCTATTGAGATGGAATTTTGTCAACCCAACCATTCAAAAAGACTACATAGACATGTATAATATACGTACGTAGATCCATCTTTTTCTTGCATTATATCACAGTTAGGTTCAACTTAAATACAAGCGTTTAGCACCTTATGCATAAATTGAGGTTAGCACTACGCTCAAATTCATTTTTATTTTCGAATTTTACATTTTGCCATTACTGATAGAGTATTATATTATTGTACCTTTGGCTCTGTTACTCATTGCGCCTTCTTGTTTCATTTCTATGCAGAAATTATTAGTGGTCGTGGTTGATGGTATTTTGAAATCTTCCACCCAAAAAGTGATCAGAGAAATGGAGAAATATTAGCATCTTCCAACAGTAAAAGTGATAAAATTAATAATTGGAATGACAAATTAAATTGTGTGAAGCTATTCAATTTTTCTAAGATTATCTTGCTTATTTCCCCTCTGATTAGTTTAAACAAAAGATTATTAAAATCCCTCCCCTCCCCTCCCCTTTATATCCCTCCTCCCTTCCCCTACCCTCTACTTCTCTCCATTGAAACCTTTACCTTCCCTTTCCCTCTGTTGAGCCAAACACAACGCAGGGGTTCAGGTAAGCAGGACCATGACAAAATCTTAAGCAAGTTAGGAGTTGTAAATCTTTATGCACCCCAAACTTGAGGGGGAGTGTTAAGAGGTGTCATGTCCAGTTTCGTAAATGGGCTCGAGTTAGTTAGGTTGGGCCCTGTAGCCTATAAATAAGAGTCACAGAGTCCATTATTAAGTGCATTGAAATTCTAGGCCTGAGTTAGTTAGGTTGGGTCCTATAGCCTATAAATAAGAGTCACGGAGTCCATTATTTAGTGTATTGAAATTCATGGCCATGTGGCCCTCGTCAATAATATGAGTAGCATTCAGTTTATCATGTTCTTTACATAGAGTTATATGGTAAACCAGATTGGAGGACAGGAGCAAATTAACACTCAACCAAGGATTTCATAGCTTACAATCGCATGTTACAGCTGATCGCAATATATGAGCATTACAAACAACTTCAGGGGGAAGCTGTTTTTATTACACACAATGGAGTATATATAACATCCACAAAGACCGACGCATTGGAGGTGAGGATTTGAATCTCTCAATTTCTTAAGAAATTAGCAGTGTTGATTTCAATAAAAGAAAACGATACAATATGCGAGGTTCACCATCTCGCACACATTGTACTTTTCTTCTATGAAATTTAACACCTTAATTGAGATGCCATAGGAAATCAACGAGACTCAAATCGCATGACTCAAACATCTGACAATACAAATAAGATCAATATATAGTAGAGCGAAAGATAAGCTTCAAAGATAGTACTACTGGGTAACAAGATGAGCATCAATGTCTCTGACAACTTCAGCGGTTAAGTCTATGAGAGGGTGAGGGTCGGGAGTGTGACCTTTCAGCTTCTCATATTCCATAATGACGTGCACCAAACTCCCTTTATCCTTTGAAACTGCGTGCAAGATAGCGCTCAGGGTCTTGAAATCCTTGAGGATATCTCCCTCCACAACCCTCAAGGTGATCAGAGTCTTGTCTGCATCTATGGCTTCAATCACCACTTTAGCAGCACGGTCCTTCCCTTCTGCACAATTTATAAATACAACAGGAGTTCGTTCTTGAATCAGCATCATGTTCAACATATATAAAACAGATTCAATTAAGTGAATTAACTGTGTGGGTATGTGACAGAGAAAGAGAGAGAGGTGGTTGAGAAGTTACGTACCATGGACGTAATACCAGGTAATAACGGAAACGACCTTGCCCCAACTTCCTTCAACAATAGCATGTCTAATTCTAGCAGGAGAAACATTGGGAATATCGTGTGGCTTGCTGCTTAACATTTCATGAAACTTGTCTGCAGAAGCATTAATGTGCACATCAACTCCCGCCTTCCCCAATAATTGTTCTTCCTGTGCCTGTCCCTGGGTGAGGCTTGCATCAATTTCTCTGCTCATTTCTGGCACCAACTGCATCAGAGTGTGTGGATCTCCCATGCAACTTCTCATAGTCAAGACTCCAATGAGCCACACTTCCTTTTGCCTTTGGGCTCACTTGAATTATGAACTTAAAGCTCTTGTAATGCTTCAGAAGATCTCCCTCTATCACCCTGAAAATTATCAGGTTCTTTGTTGAATCCAAAGCTTCGATCACATCCTTCGCCACCCCCTCCTTCCCATCTGTTATGTCAGAGGATTACAGTGGTGAGTAAGTGATAGAGTCTAAGTAACAGAAATTCTTCAGTCATTCATTTTTGTCAGCTTCACACATACGCACACGAAGTAGTACGTCAATATATATAGTATCTCTCTAAATAACAGTTTGAGCTTACCAAGAACGTAATTCCAGACAACGATGGAGCCGACTTTTGCGAAATCGCCTTGATGCTTAGTCACAGACTTGATTTTGCGAAGCCTATTGCATGCACAAAGAAGGCTTCCGCCCTAACCCTTTATATATGAATTTTGCGGTGCTTTGAAGCCCCACGACCTGCTTCGCAATGTATGCCAAATCTTTTTTTTTTATCACTTCATCAGGCATTCATTTGTATCAATTTTAATTAAGCGCTCGATTAATATGAAATATTTGAATTAATGCATTTTTATATAAAATAACAACAATGAGTTGGGTTTGTTAAAAGGCCATATTTTCAATCAAAATTAAAATTATATTTTCCTAGCAAGCTGTGGTAAATGGTCTCACCTCATAGAAAAGAGAATACAAATTTGAATCTCAAGAAGCATACTTGTTGAGAGAATTTTAATTTTAATGCTCTCTGCATGACAAAAATTAGTTTTAAACCTAAAATGATTTGAGTATACTCAGACTTATTAAAAAAAAAAAAAACCGGAGACCCGTGCACCTGCCAGATTATTACAGCCACGCTGGTCAAAAAATAAAAAGATTATTACAATTCTTTTTTTGTAAGAGAGCCATAATTTTGTATGGTTGTTATCAACATATGAATCATTGTACTACATCAAGAAGGCGGGGCCTTTATTGCGGAAAGATTATGACTGTATTATTTTCTTTAAATTTTATAGTTAAATAGTTTTACACATTTAAAAATAAAAAAACCCATTATAAAAAAAGTCGAAGTTGAAATTTGTATGTTAAAACTTTTATGACTCGTTGTCTAATCTTTTATTTATTTATTTATTTTGTCAACGTGTACTTATCTTTATGTACCTTTCCAAACATGCTCCTCTGATCCTATTTATATATAGATAAAAAAAATCTTAAATTGCATTAACTTTGTATTAAAATATAATAACTTTTCAACTTTGTTCCTATTTAATATATATGTATTTCAAAAATAATAACTATCTATACTATAATAAATAAAGAATAAAATAGTGCTCCTCTAGTTCTTAATATAGAATCCAATTGTTGAACTGGTTTTGATCCTAAATATAAGACTTATTTCTCATATTTATCAATTTTTTCTAAATTACCCTTACGGATACTCCCTTAACCATAATCAAGTAGAAGAGAAAGAGGGGATATTAAGAAAGATGAATATGATATTTTAGGAAAAACATGTCACATTTCTTATAATTAACTAACTTACCTAACTTCCTTAATCTAATCAAATTAGTTAAATGGGCCTTATATTAAGGACCGGAAGAGTACATTTATACTTAAAATTTAATAAAGTGATTTGTAAATATACCCAAGAAAAACCTTCTCTCTCTGTCTTATAAAAAGGACCAGAGGAGTAATATAATTTGCCGACTATTGATCCTTCCCCCTTTAGGGTTTGATTATTTATTACTACCTCCGGTTCTTAATATAAGAGCTCGTTTAATTTTTAGTTTGATCCTTAATATAAGACTCCAATTTACTTTATCTCTCATATTTATCTATTTTTTCAAGATAATCCTTGTAATAATGGTAGTTCTAACTAACTTGATTAGCAAAGATATTTTAAAAAAGACAACGTCTATTTATTACAAATAATTAACCTAACTAGTTTCTTTAATCTACTTAAATAAGCCAACTAACTTTTATATCATGAAGGTAGTATCACATTTATTGTCCTATCCTCACTAGCGATTTCTGGATGTTACATGTCTGCTTTTCCATGTCTTCTCTTTTTTGGTTTAATTTATTACTGAAAATAATTATTGGCTTCGGTATCCCTAAAAGTTTTCACGCCGGTATAATTTTGGCCTTATCACCCAAATGTAATCACGTATCGATCATTTCATGTACTGTGACGAGAAAATGGCTATCATTTTAAGACTTTGAGATCAGGGGGGAAGTTGAAGTTCAAATGTGAATTTAAATTTTTCTCCGATTTAATAATTCAATCGAGATTAATCTAAAGTAAAATAATCCCCACAATATGTGCAATTCGCTTAATTTGTTACAATTTTAATTTTCGGTCATTAATTTGACCTGCGTTGTTACTTTTTTTTGTAAAATTATGAGAGTGTAATACTTATATTTTTCTTATTTGAATTAAAATACATATTTACAAAAATGAATTAAACTATAATATTCGTCCGACGAGTAAAATTTTTAATTGAGACAAATTAACAGAATTACAAATTAATACACACACACACTACCAATCCTAATCATAAGGCCTTATTTATATCCGTTCTAATCATAAGATCTCGTTTGTAGATTATAAATGAAGTCTTATAATTAAGATCAAAGGTAATATATTGAAATAAATGAAAGATTGTAAGGGTTAAATAATTATGTTTATCTGTTTTTGGCAAACAATTATATTTACTTCACTTCTTTACATATATTAGAAATTGATTTAACGGATGAAAGAACAGGATAACTCATGTTTCAGTTTTAGGTTTTCAGAAACTCTCATAATCACTTAAAAAAATATTTTCATATCAAGACAAAATTTTCTCATGTACAATTACTTGTGAAGAGTTATTTCAAACACCCCCTAGTTAGATTCTCAATCCTTTTTATGGGACCCATTCTTAAAACGAAAACTAAAATAATGGTATATGTTTAATATCAATTAAATTTTTTTACGTTCATTTTTTAATTATGATATAGTATTTAATTTCTTCAATAGATGTTTTTAAATTGTGGAAAATTTTTATTTAAAAAATTAATACTCCTCTGGTCCTAAATATAAAACTCATTTTTTAGTGCAAATTGTATTACAAAATGAGTCTTATATTTAGGATCGGAGGAGTAACTTATACAAAGTATGCCAGAAGTATTCACATTGTTTCAGTTTTTCATTCACAAGGCATGATGTTTTATCCTGCAATTGTTGATTAATGTCAGCGGACTATTATTTTTAAAAATTTATATATATTAATGGCTAAAATGCATCAAATCCCTAAAAACTTTGGTCGTAAAATATTTTTCACCTTTAAAGGTTTAAATTAAGAACTTTAATGCTTAATTATTTGATTGTCAACCTTCTTACCGTGCAGCGGTTTTTACCATGTCAAAAATTTTTTATTTGTTTTATTATATATCATGTCATTTGATTATATATTTTTTATTTGACATGTAATTTTAAGTAACTTAAATTTTTTCATTTAAAAAACTCAGTTAAATTAATATTTTAAATATTTTATATTTAAATATTTTATATTTTTTAAAGTAATTAAGTATCTCTTTTCAAGTACTTAACAAAATTTAAAATTACCTTTCTAAACTGCAAGTACTATTTTTTTAAAATGACATGGCAGATAATGAAAAATAAAAAGAGAAAATGGCAAATAAAGACCCCCGAATTATTAAAATTACAGAGGTCACTGAATAAGTAAAATTACTATGAAAACCCAGTCCCATTTTACTTGAGATTTCATTGCAATTCTCCATTTATTTTATTCTAACCAAACGTCTATATATATGGAGAGTATATTTCAGTGATCATGGGGTGATCTGCCCCCAACTCTCAAGGTATCTATGCCTGTGGGGTAGCATCCGCAATCTTTTTGCAAAAATTACAACAAATTTTAATTAAACTGAAAATTTATGTTTCCCCCCCGTTCTAAATTTGGAGCCTTCATTATGATTCCAGTCGTCTCATCTGATCACTATCAAGCCACGTATCATAAATTCTCCCTTATCTTCATCATCCTCCTGCAGATTGGTCCCATTTTATTTTATGTAAAATTAAATTGTAATTATTATTTTTTCATTCCCGAGATAGAGATCATAAGGGTGCAAAATTATATTAGAACCACTCATTTCTATAAAATAAAAATTATATATATATTTTTCTCCGATGCAATTTGTTGACTAGTGGATCAGTGTGGTTCCTATCAGAACAACTAAATAGTCATCAACTCCGTCAATGGATTTGGCCCACGCTGCTCTATGCCAGGGTTCCCCTTGTCTTTAGTATCGATTCTCTCCTTTTCTTCTGGTGCCGTCGACTCTCTCCCATTTTTCTTGTCCCGTCGTATTTTCCTTCTGGCTTTCTTCAACCGCTGACATGCTCGATTCCCCAATATCAGAAGTATCTTTCTTTCTCTCCTTACGGTTCTGCTCAAATTGCTCTTGCTCAACCTGAAAAGCCATTTTTTCCCGAGAGAATTATAATCAATTCTCATAGAAGAGAAATTATTACTAAAAAATCTCAATAACAACCTGAGCAGTTTATAATAACATGTCATACGGTGAAAATGATAACCTTTAGGACTTATTTTTCAATTGTTTTTTTTTTGTTTTGAATCTCATTGTGATTCTTTTTTTTTTTTAGCCTTCCTTCTCTATTACGTGACAGGTACTTTCTTGTTGCTCTTCTGCTGCAAAATGTCAAATCGGATTTACATTGGGTGCTCATCAAATCTGGGCCGTCTAGATCTGATTTAGACGGTTCAGATTTATTTTTATTTTTTAAAAATAATTATTTTAATAGGTAAAGGATAAAAAATAAAGACAATCTCTTAACTATCATTCTTTAAAAATATAATTTTTTTATTTTAAAATAATTATTTAATAATATTAAATCTGGACGGTTCAGATTGCTCATTGGGTACTCATCACGAATGGGGACCCATATCAAATCTGGTTCCAGAGTTTTTGTTCTGCTCTTTTCCCGTTGTCATGCTACCTCCTACTCCCTTTTCTTGCTTTTTATTTACCGAATCAAGTTTTTGATTTTTTTGGTCTAGAAGTGTTTTTTGCCTTCATCCGAGAGCCGTATATCTCCTTTGTTTTGACACCTGGTACACTGAAAAGGGGCTGTTTCTCCTTTTGATTTTCTGTCGTTTTCTGTGTTTGCTCCACCGGTGGAGCTTTCTCCAGTGAGTTTTTCCGTTCAGTTGCGTTCAAGTGACGTTCCTCCTGGTTATGAGCACAAAGGCCACACTTGAAACAAATAACATTTGAGTCCCTCATACTCGACGGTGTAGGCTTTTTCCCTCATCACAAACTTGGACTGAAGTTGTTTATTCGGATCAGTCTCACCGCTGACCCGTGCAAACTTCCCTCTTTCCACTGCCAAGTTATTGTTACAGTTTGCTAGAGTTTTCAAATCAACCTTGAGTGCCTTGCCAATCATGTTCCGAATCACAAGTAAACAGTCTTCAGAGCAAATATGCATTGGCATAGTAGGAATTCTAACCCGCATTGCAAGTTTGCCAATCTTGCTGCAGTATTGGTTAAAATTTGGGCTCCGTTACTGAACAGCAAGATAGTGCCCCTTAGTAACCCACGGACCATCGAAAAGCAACCTTCTTCTTTGCTCCCTATCCTCTGTTCGGAAAACATAATGCCCATTTGGGAGGTCTATCAACTCAAAATGCTCAGAATTAAACAACCAACGTACTCGGTCTTTCATCATTCTGACATTGGTTTTTTTCCCCAGAAGAGTGATGATTAAAGCATTTCCCCATGGCTTGCATAACTCCTCCAAGCGTTGATCTGAGATATTCAGTCTAGGCAGTGACTGTAGTAACTTCTCTTGGTCCTCTGAGAGGATGGGCGCTGTATCTTCTTCTTCTTTAAGCCACTCCTTCATTTGCTCCTCCCATTCCTTTTCCCCATCATTCTCTTCCCTGCCCACCAGCTTCGCCTTATAGGATATTTGAGTCGTTGAAGGGTGCTGTGTCGATTGTTTATTGGGTACCGGGTTCCCTTGACTTGTTTCCTGCATTGGTGTGTCTTCTACCTGTATAGAATTCTCTCCATCAACTTTGCAATCCTTCATAACAGTGTCTGCTGCTATTCTCTTGATATTCTTACCACGTAGATCATCTTCTTCCTTTGACGGATCAGTTGATTCAGCTGGTTGATCACCCAAGTTGACCGGAAATCCATGCACATCACTTTCACTCTTGCTCACCTTCTCTCATTTTTCTCTCGCTATGTTGTTATTATTTTCATGCTTCTTTTGAAAAGGTTTTCCACTGTACTGTTTTTCCTTTTTGGCTTTATCTTGTGCTTTAATTTTGAAGAATATGTTCTCATTTTCTTTTCCCTTTTGGTAACACATCAATTATGCTTTCTTGTTACATAGCTACTACTTTTTTCTCTCTTTCTTCTTTTTTTTTCTTTTTCTTTTTCATGCATGAGTACATTTTAGTTTGGAGAATACTAAAAGGGTAATGATTAATGGAAGCCAATAGCTATAACCGTGGTTTAGTAAATTTTAAACTTTTAAGTTCATAATTTGTGCTTGTTTAATATTTATAAAACTGATTATTTTGTAGTTTCTTAACTTAATTTATAAAACTTAAATTAATAGTTCAATGGTTATAGAAATGTCATCATGATATAAGGGGACTGAATATTTGCTACCTAGGGCTTCGAAAATTAAGAAGAAAGCGGATTTGGAAGACTCGTGTTGCGTGTTCCGAAAGGGGCACCTAGTCGGGTATCATCGCCATCGATCTACTGAAACAGCAGCTTTAAGTTAGGGAAGGGAGAAACAACTTTAACGACATAGTTGCAGAGCCACTTACGGTGCACAGCAAAAAAGATTGGTTTGAATGGGTTAAAAACTATCTAATATCTAGAGATCTCTGGAAAATGACAAGCAGTAGAGCAAGACCAGAGAGATATCGGGTGAAAGAATTTGCAAGATGGAGAAGAAAGAATGCCGCAGCATTGCATGTCATTCGTATCTCTTGTGGGCCTCACAATCACTTTCGTATAAGAGGCGTCTCTGAAGCCAAAGATGCATAGGACATTCTCTATGATACCTACAATAATAATGCACCCCACTCTCCTCCCTCAGGTCAGTGCCATCCATGTGTGTATGTATGTCTGTGTCTGCGCGCGCGCGCCCGCGTGTTTGGGACTTTCTTATCTAGCCTCATAAACTCTTGTCGCGTTAGCTAATCATGTTGACATTTATCTATACGTGAATTGAACTTCAAATGCCTTCAAAAATTTAAAAGGAAGCGGGTCATGAAATTTTAATTATTCAAGATCGAGGACATGTATGTGTGGAAAAATTAATTGTTCCTAGAACTTTGCAAAGGGTCTTATAATAATAATCAGGGACACCACCTCTCTCAAAAATATAATGGTCCCATTTGGTACGAAACATTAAAAATGAGATATATGCATGGATTGAGATTAAAAGTACAAAACTATGTTAAAATGGTGTTTAATATGAGTAATTGCATGATACTTGGGATTAGACAAACACATATACGTGGAATTGGACAATACCATAAGGGGAGGTGGTATTCTCCAATCCTATCTATATGGGATTGTCTATCTCATGTGATAAGAAATCACTCATACTAAGTATCTTTTTAACATATGTTTTTAACCTCAATCCCAATCTTTATCTTTCATTTTCAATATTCTGTACCCAACGTAACCAATGGCTCTTGTAATTGGAAACGGAAGGTCTATTATGGTTAGTGCTCCATACTTCATGACTGAAAAAGGAGACTAATTAACAAGAGATTTATCTTCGCAAATTTACTCAAACTATGGTCCTTCTTTGTTCGCAAGGCCACTAATACTTCTCTAATTACCCTCCTAGTCTATGCGCGCTGGACAAATTATATGTATGATTCCTTAGCATTGAATTAATTGGTGATTACAGTGATTAGGGAGGCAGAAGAATTAGAGATGGGTACTCTGTACAACGCCATAGCTCAGAACAACTGGTGGGTTGCAAAAGCATCCATTGATCGGTATCCCAGAGCATTGGATATAGATTTTGCCGCTTCAATAGGAGAAACACCTCTTCATGTGGCCGTGAAGTTTGGGCATGTTGGCATAGTAGAGGAGTTGGTAAGATTAGTTCCACATGAATATCTCAAAATACGCGATGCTTATTATGATTGTACTCCACTTGCAACTGCTGCAATATATAGTGGAGTCATCCCAAACGCAGCATGCTTGATCAACGAAAACAACAATGCACTTGCAATTCCATCTAAAAATGGTTGGCGCATTCCTGTTACCTTGGCTTTTATTGGTGGCCTTACCAAAATGGGACGTTATCTCTATTCTGTCACTCCTTTGCAGTTCTTCAAACCAGAAAACGGCCCTGTGGGCCCTACATTCCTCTACACCTGTTTGAGGATTGGACAATTAGGTAACACAACATAAATGTTGTCCTACGTATATGCATGTTGTCATTTTGTCATTCCATCTCGTACTAAGCGATTTTATGCATAAATAGATTTTGCCTTGGATTTGCTCCAACAGTGCACCGAGCTGCTTTTTGCTGCCGACGTATACGGGATCTCAACAATTCAGAATATTGCACGTTATCCTCCTAATTTTCTGAACAAAAGTACCACTACAAAAAATTCGACTTTCAGCGGCGACATTGAAAGTCCAAAAGTCGCCGCTGAAACGCTTCAGCGGCGACATTTTGTCACCACCAAGTCGTTGCCGTAGCGACCGTGGCTGAAACTTATTAGCGGCGACAAAAAAAGTCGTCGCTGAAAGTGGACATTCAGCGGCGACACAAAGTCACCGCTGAAAGCTGATGAGTTTGCCACTCAGAACCGTCGCCACTGAAACATGAGAATCGGCGGCGACTATATGTTTTACAAAATTTAATTAATCACATTTTAAATTAAAAAATATAAATAGTAATAATATTTAATTAACTATATACATGATTTTATTATCTATATCTCTCACACATTTTTAATTCATTATATTATCTCCTTTAATGATTTTATTTCTCAATCCTCTCATACATATGTTCATCATCAAATATTATTATGTCAATTAAGTATACTCACACTAATTTAATTATAATAATCTCTCACATATATTTAATTATGTTATCTCTTTCAATTATAATATCCTTCTCTCTCTCACACATACAGACTATCTCTCTTCCAATAATACTTACATCTACCTCTCACCTCTCACCCTCTCACTCTATATTTCATTACTTATCCCATCAAACTTGCATACTTTTTCACGCATGCCTCGATCTCATTTCTCTCCCATGCATAATGTTTTTCTATTCCATCTCTCAAACATTTGGATATGGGATATGCGTGTTAAACACACACTCCAAACTTTCTTCCTCTTCCTTTCTCTCTCAAACACCATATTATCTTTCTTTTAGTCTCTCTCTAACACAAAAATACATTAATTATCAAAGTTACTTAATTACGCAAATAAAAGATTATAATATAAAATTTTTACCAAAAAAAAGATTAAAAAAATGTGAAAAAACTTTTGTCGCCGCTGAAATAAGATTCAGCGGCGACAAAAGGTCACCGCTGAAAGCTATATTCAGCGGCGACAGGAAGCGTCGCCGCTGAAACAGGATTCAGCAGTGACATAAGGTCGCCGCTGAAAGAGACATTCAGTGGCGACAGGAAGAGTCGCCGCTGAAAGAGGATTCAGCGGCGACAGTTAGTCGCCGCTAAAACCACATTCAGCGGCGACTTGAATTGTCGCTGCCGTAGTGCACACTTTCGGCGGCGACAAATTTTGTCGCCGCTGAAAGTTGAAGTTACAGCGGCGACAATAATATGTCGCCGCCATAACTCATGCTTTTGGCGGCGACATACTTGTCGCCGCAGAAAGGCCGACTTTTAGCGGCGACAATAATTGTCGCCGCTGAAAGTCATATTTTCAGCGGCGACTCCCTTTGTCGCCGCTGAAAGTGGTCGCTGAAAGTCCAGATTTTTGTAGTGAGTCGATTTCCATTCTGGAAGCAATGGTCCTATCACTGTTAGTGCATATTATTGCTTTCCGCTCTCTATTTTTCCCTATAATTTTCTTTATGCTGTTTGCTCATTTTAATTATGACGATAAGGATAAACATGGTGAAGATGAAGTTATTTTAATAACCACTGGTATAACTCTAGTTTTTTTTTTTTGTGTTATATTCATCAATAATTGGTGACATACATATAATCATTCCAAATCCATCTCATCCTTCCTCTCTTACTCTCTACCATCCTAAATACATATAGGACGTCTTTTAAGAACTATTCCTGAGAAAATTCCTTTAAGAAAATTCCTTTAAGCTTTAGCAACTCCAACAGTTACTAAGTATGCTTCTCTGGCAATCCACTCACAAGAACTATTCCTGAGAAAATTCCTTTAAGAATATACCCAAGGAGGGGGACACAGCTCCTACTTGTGGATGAACAATGATGCCAAACACACTGAACAAGCAAGAGCCTATCCATATCAAAGAAGATGACCCATGAAAGACCATCTAAAAGCCAAATATGAGAATCTCAAGCAACAAAGAACCAACCTCACTTCTATTAGTAGGAGTAAAATGGCAAACAACAACCTCAAACCAGTCACAACTCCTCTTAGTATAAGCCTTAGTAGCCATACTATTAGAGTTCAGGCCATCTATTCTAGTTCTTCCCCACCTTGCAATCTTCCGCACTAATGCCAGTGAGCCAGAAATACCTTGGTTAAGACTTATATGGCTCATGGAATGAGCTACGCCAAGACATAAAAACTCAACCCATCAAGGCATTTAGAATCACACAATAGAGACACATAAAAAACAAAAATGGCCACGTTAACAATCTCACATTTGAAAATCAAAACAAAATAAGTAGAAAAACTATGAAACTTGAAGAATACCTAAACCTCATAACCCATATGACTCCCAAAATCTTCGTTGAAATCCTTTGCTGAAGGAAACTTAACATCACTATAGAAATCCTCACTGCAGCAACAGAGAATCCCCAACTCCCACCCTTCAAATCATCCTTCACCACCATCCTTTTCAACTGTCTAGAGAGAAAACCACCATCTCGAACCAAACCGTGACATCAAGACCCATGGAGGCACCCATCGAAGATCTGCTTCCAAGGCCTATTCTAATCTTTTATTTATTTATTTTGTCAATGTATGCTTATCTTTATGTACCTTTCCAAACGTACTCCTCTAATCCTATTTATACATGTTTCATACATACCAAGAAGAATATTAAATTGCATTAACTTTCTATTAAAATATAATAACTTTTCAGCTTTGCCCATATTTAATATATATATGTTTTAAAAAAATATCTACAATATAATAAATAAAGAATAAAATAGTACATTCATGCTTAAAATTTAATAAAGTGATTTATAAATAAACCCAAGAAAAATCTTCTCCCTCTCGCTTATGAAAAGGACAAGAGGAGTAATATAATTTGCCGATTATTACTACCTCCGATTTTTAATATAAGAACTCGTTTATTTGGGTTCTAAATATAAGACTCTAATCTACTTTATCTTTCATATTTAGCTATTTTTTCTCAAAATAGTCCTTGTAATAATGGTAGTTCTAGCCAATGCACTGGATTAGCAAAGATATTTTAGGAAAAACAACACCTATTTATTATAAATAACTAACTTAACTAATTTGTTTTTAATCTACTTAAATTAATCAAGTAACTTTTATATCAAGGACGGGAGGATTGTCCTATCCTCACTAGCGATTTCTGGATGTTACATGTCTGCTTTTCCATGTCTTCTCTTTTTAATTTAATTTATTACTGAAAATAATTCTTGGCTTCGTTATCCCTATAAGTTTTCATGCAGGCATAATTTTGGCCTTATTACCCACATGTAATCATGCATCGATCATTTCATTTACTTTTGACGAGAAAATGGCTATAATTTTGAGACTTTGAGATCACGGGGGAAGTTGAAGTTAAAATGTGAATTTAAATTTTTCTCCGATTTAATAATTCAATCGAGAATAATCTAAAGTAAATAATCCTCACAATATATGCAATTCGCTTAATTTGTTTCAATTTTAATTTTCAGTCATTAATTTGACCTGCGTTGTTACTTTTTTTTTTGTAAAACTATATTTGAATTAAAATACATATTTATAAAATTGATTAATTAAACTGTAATATTCATCCGATGACTAAAATTTTTAATTGAGACAAATTAAGAGAATTACAAATTAAGATTATTCAAACTTGTTAAAATATGCGGTCTTGGCTTGCTAGGGTAATGAAATCATGCAGGATTTATGCCCAAAAAAAGCTTGTTAAAATATTCAGTTAATATCATCGTTCAAACTTCAAACTGTACGTACGGGTCTCTCTCTCTCTCTCTCTCTCGCGCCAACAAGATAGGTACGGGTCTCTCATATATATATACACAGAGAGAGAGAGAGAGAGAGAGAGAGATAAATGGAAGATTGTAAGGGTTAAATACTTGCAATTACTTTTTTTTTTTTGCCAACAATTATATTCACTTCACTTCTTTACATACATTAGAAATTGATTTAACCGATGAAAGAATAGGAGAACTCATCTTTCAGTTTTAGGAGGCATTTGGAAACCCTCATAATCACTTTAAAAATATATATTTTCATGTCAAGACAAAATTTTTCTTCTGTACTTATTTTGAATTCTGTAAAATTACTTGTGAAACGTTATTTCAAACACCCCCTAAATTAAATACTCAATTCTTTTTATGGGACCCATTCTTCAGAACAAAAACTAAAATAATGGTATAGGTTTAATATCAATTAAATTTTTTTACGCCCAGTTTTCTAATAAATTTAATTATGATATAGTATTTACTTTCTTCAATGGATGTTTTTATTGTGGTAAATTTTTATTTATAACTTATATAAAGTATGGCAGAAGTATTCACATTGTTTCAGTTATTTCCTGTAATTTCTGATTAATGTCAGCGGACTATTATTTTTTAAAATTTATATATATTAAAGGCTAAAATGCATCAGATTCCCCAAAAACTTTGGTCGTAAAATCTCCATCACCTTCAAGAACTTTAATGATTAATTATTTGATCATCAACCTTCTTACCGTTAAAATATTGGTAAAGGCGGTGATTTTACCATGTCAATATTTTTTTTTATTGTATATCATGTCATATAAAGATAACACTTGTCATCTGACATGTAATTTTGGAGTAATTCAAAATTTCTTATTTACAAAAATCAGTTAAATTAATATTTTAAATAAATTTTTATATTTAAATTTTTTATTTTTAAAATAATTAAGCATTTCTTTTTAAGTACTTAAAAAATTTAAAATTAATTTTCTAAACTGTAAGTGCTATTTTTTAAATGACATGCTATAAAACAAAAGAATATAAAATTAAGGTTGACATGGCAAAAACTGTTAATTTTAACGGTAATTTTAACGGCAGAGAAATTAATAATTAAAATATGAAACATTATGGTCCTTAATTTGAACTTTTGAAGATGAGAGAGGTTATATGCAAGTGACTTAAAATTTAGGAAAGTTCTGTGTATTTCAGTCTGTCTTAAATATTAATTAAAAATTTTTAATCAAATTTTTTAAAGATGATCAATATTACGGGATTAATTAGATCCACTTCTTAGAGGATTTTTTTTATTTTGGTGGGGGAGGGACCTTGGCAAATTCTGGAGAATGCTTCATCCAAATAGGCTAAACTATACAT